GCTCCGCTTCCAGGTCCTGAACCCTGATCCACGCGGGACGTGGAGGGAAACATTTACCAACAGTTCCCGTTTTGTTTTTTTACTTCAAAATAAGATATGTGCAGTGTGCATAGGAATTTGTTCATAGTTTTTTTTTAAACTATAGTCCGGCCCTCCAACGGTCTGAGGGACAGTGAACTGACCCCCTGTTTAAAAAGTCTGAGGACCCCTGCTATAATAATAAAAGTGTAACATGCTAGTTAGACCAGACATCCTTCTGGACGAAGCCGGGGCTGTGAGTGAAGCCTGGATCCTGGGTGCCTGCCGGAGGCCAGAGGGAGAGAAGCTTGGGTCCTGGGTGCCAGAGGGAAGCCGGTGCTGGCAGCCGGGGGAAGGAAGGCCTACTCTTGCACGAATTTCATGCATTGGGCCTCTAGTAGTACCATAAGCTGGGATGGCTACACTGGTATCAGACATTATAGACTCCAGTCAAGATAGAAAAGAGCAATGCTGTACATCTGAAACTAATGTAACATAATAGTGAATGTCAACTGTAACATCAGTGAAGAAAAAGATAAAAATACAATGATAAAAGCATCAACCGATGAGGAAGATAATATAATTATAAACTTTTACAACCTAACAACACAGTCCCAAAAATACATGAAATAAAAATTGATAGAATTAAAGGATGAAATAGGATAGGAGCTGAGACACCAACACCCCACTTTCAACAGTGCACAGAGAAACCAGACAAAAGACTCTGAGGAAAGAGAGAACTTGAGTGTGTCAACAGCATGGACCAGCCAGCCCTCCAGACACCCACAGAACAGGCCACCCAGCTGCAGAGCACACAGCCTTCCCAGGGACCAGAATATTCTGCAGGACAGGACGTTCGTGGGGCCTCAACCCGGGTCTCAATAAATTTTAAAATACTGAAATCATAAAAAGTACCTCCACCAACCATGGGGACTGAGTTTACAAATCAACAACAGAAGGAAATCTGGAAGATTCACAAATATGTGGAGATTAAGCAGTGCAGTCTTGACCAAGGGCCGATGAGGGGGTCAGGGGTCAGGCAATACTCAGTTGAATGACCATGGAAACAACACACGGAAGCTGTGGGCTCTGAGAAAGCAGCTGCAAATGCCTGCAGTAGGGAGGAGGGAAACCTCAAGTCCTTAAGCTCACTGTACACCTTAAAGAATCAGAAAAAGAGCAAACTGAACCCAAAGCAGCACAGGAAGAAATAGTAAAGGTACGAGTGGAAATAAATGCCATAGAAAAAAAAAAGGAAAAACAATATGGAATCAACAACCAAAAATAAAATAAAACAAAACTGACAAAGCTTGAGCTAGACTGACCAAGAAATAAGAGCGCACTCAAGAGACTGAACCAGGAAAGTGGGGACCTGCCGGGAGCCGGTCCATCCTTGCTGCTTGACACAGTCGCTGCAGGGAAGAAACATCTGCACAGCATATGTTTCAAGGGACCTGGCGTATATGGCATACTGTTCTTAATATGTTTGCTCCCCTTCTTGGCGCTATGTGTTTTAACCAAGGTCACCTCTCCGAGAAAGGTTGTTTCCCCAGGTAGGGATTTTTCCCTGAAGTTAGGGAGGGAATAAAACCCCTTAACTAAATGCCAGGCGGGTAGTTAATCACTTTAACTACAAACAATCACCCTTAAGCTTCATGATCTTTACTCCCTGGAATGGAGATAAGAAACGCCCTAACCTTTGGAATAGAAATTGATAGGATTAAAATCAACTGGTATAAATACAGATGTAACAAGACAACAGAACACAGAACCTAGAGACAGAACCTAGCAAGAGAACATGGCAAAAGATCCTGGACAGAACCTGGCTACAGAACTTTGCTGGAGAACCTAGACAGAACATGGCGACCGAACCTGGCTGGAGAACCTAGCGAGAGAACATGGCACCAGAACTTGGTTGGAGATCCGAAACAGAACTAGGCTGGAGATTCTGGCAGAAGAACCTGGCTATGATGATCACCTGAACACTGTCTCCGTGTCTTTCCTTCCTCGCTGACTCCGTCCACACCTTTGGGAACCCCTGGACCCGCTGGGGCTGGACCCCAGCAGGGACCTACTTCCCACCTTACAGGACACACAGGACTGCCAGAGACTGCTGTGAGCAACTCTATGCCAACAAATTAGGTAACTCAGATGAAAAGGGAAAAATAATAAAAACACACAAATTACCAAAGTAACAACTATTGGGGCCAGAGGCGCCAGCTAGAAGAGGCTCCCACTTGCCAACGGTGGACAATCTGCCCAGCAGGTGTGGCTCAGCGGTTGAGTGTTGACCTCAACCGGGAGGTCATGGCTCGATTCCTGGTTGTGGGCTTGATCCCCAGTGGGTGGGGTGCAGGAGGCGGCTGATCGGTGATTCTCTCTCATCATTGATGTTTTTATCTCTCTCCCCCTCTCCCTTTCTCTTTGAAATCAATAAAAATATATTTAAAATTTTATAAAAAGTTGGCACAATCTGAGCCTCATTAAGGATCAGAATCACAATAGACTGAAATTCATCAAATATATTTAAATCCATGGGTCCTCATCTTCTCAGGATGAAAGAGAACCAACTCATTGGTTCTCTTGTTAAGTAAACAAAACAGAAAACCCCAGCATTTCCCCACCTTTTCTGTGACTGAGCCACTGAGCAGCAAACCATAGACGAGGGAGGGTGTCTCCGTGTACCATTCCAGCTAATAAGTGAAATGAACCAACAGAAGGAAGAGATCTCTATACGCAATTCCAGCTGAACCCACGAACGGCACTGAGTACCACTAGTTGTTTACGAGACAAAGGAAAGCCAGTCACCGGGGCCTCCTGATGCAAGAACAGCACCTAGAGTCTTTGCCATGAATGCACTCAGGTCCCTGGACCCCACTGCCGGCCTGCGGGCAACAGAGGGGTGTGCTGGACTATACCAGGGGCTTCAATGCTGGCTCAAAGGGTCCGGTCCTATGCTTGCTTCAGCAGCACACATACTAAAACTGGAACAATACAAAGAAGATTAGCATGGCCCCTGCGCAAGGATGACATGCAAATTCAGTGAAGTGTCCCATATTTAAAATAAAACAAAATAGTCCAGTCCTTTGACAGGGGAACTGTGAGGCCAGGAAGGGCAGGGAGAAAGGATGCACAGCCACTCAGACACAGTGGGCCTGGCAGTGAGCAGAGAAACCAGTGTGCACACCAGTTTGTCTTGTAAAAGAGATACACACCAAAGTGCTAAGGACAGCCTCCCGGGAGGGGGAGGCATGGGACAGAGTGGGCGTCAAAGGATACTCCATGTTATCTATTTTATTGTTTGTAAAGACCCAAAGCAAATGTAAAAAAAACTCAGTCCTGGGTGGAGGAAGGGAGGTGTGTGGGGGGAGTCAGCTGGGCCTAAAGCCCTGCTGAAAAGCAGAGTAGCTCTGGGCAGCCTCAGTGGTCGGAGGGCCCCCTCCCGGGACTGCTGCACAGGTGAGTTAACATGTGAGAAAGAGACCTGGGAACAGTGCCCGGCGCAGAGGAAGCAGCTTAGAGGTGCAACCTCTAACCCTTGCATGGGACATCACGCAGGGAAAGTACAGAGACTCAGGCACAAAGGCCGAAAGGCTGAGTCCTCTGCTCCTTCATCTGTGCTGCCGACACGATGTGTCCACCGGGCAAACTCACGACACACTCTGACCTACCCACTTTTCTGCACATACACTAAACTTTAACAAATGTGTAGAAAAAGGAGGGAGGAAGGGAGGGAGGGAGGAGATATTTGCCAAATAGACTTGGAACCTAGCAAAAGCCTATTAAGAAATAGAAAGGCCCTGGCCGGTTTGGCTCAGTGGATAGAGCATCAGCCTGCAGACTGAACAGTTCCAGGTTCGATTCCGGTCAAGGGCACATGCCCCGGTTGTGGGCTCAATCCCAGTAGGGGTGTGCAGGAGGCAGCCCATCAATGATTTTCATCATTGACGTTTCTATCTCTCTCTCCCTTCCTTTCTGAAATAAATAAAAATATATATATTAAAAAAAAGAAATAGGAAGACTGCCCTAGCGAGTTTGGCTCAGTGGACAGAGCATCAGCCTGTGGACTGGAGGGTCCCAGGTTTGATCCCAGTCAAGGGCACTTACCTGGATTGCAGGCTTGAACCCCGGTCCTGGTCGGGGCATGGGTGGGAGGTAACCAATCGATGTGTCTCTCTCACATTGATATTTCTCTCCCCCCTTTATCCACCCCCCCCCCACTTTCTCTGGAAATGAAATATCCTCGGGTGAAGATTAACAACAAAACAAAAGAAAGAAAAAGAGATAGAAAGACCAAAGAACTAGAGACAGTTACTCTGAACTGTTGCCTAAAAATGTAAATTATCTACTAGGGATTTCAATAAATACTCCTTTCAGAGGTGAAGTAAAAGGAGCAAAATTGAAGTTATGCTCTAAGAGAAAGACAAAACAACTGTGGAAACTTGAACACAGATGAGGTTCTATGGTTAAATCTGTCGGGTATGATGGTGAACTGGAGACCTTTTTTATAACATCCTTAACAGTCAGGTGAAGGTGCATCCTGAAGTATTTATAGGTAAAAACCCAGTCACCCCTGCAATCTTCTTTAAAGGGGTCGAGGGGGAGAGAAGCAGGGCAGGGAGAGTGGATGAAACAAGACTGGCAGACGGGTGACAAATGATGAAGATGACAAGGTGGGAGGTCACCATACCACCCTCTCCAATTTTGTGCCTGGTGGCAGATGTCCATAATAAGCATAAACTTTAGAAGTTTAACTCTAAAGAATAAAACTGGTGACGGGGGAGGTCCCTTCTTTTCAACATAAGCTCTTCTACTCTTGATTTACCAGAGAAAATCCAAGGAAACACCCAAACAAGGACAATGGCTCGAATGCACCAGGGGCGAGCTCCCTCCTGCTGGCACTCTGCTGGACACACAGGGACCAGACGCCCGCACAGAGCCACGACCCCCTGTGGCTCGAGGGCCCAGGAGCAGAGCTTTACCTGCAGCTGTCCAGGAAGCGGCACTTGCCCTCCAGGAAGAAGGGACAGGGCTTCAGGGACTTGTGGGTGGGGTACAGGTAGAGGACCCGCACACCCGCGGAGCCGTCCTCTGCCTCTTCCGTGCCCACGATCATGGCGTTGTGATACTCCAGGGTGCCCCAGGAACTGTGGTAGGGGGCGTTCACCTTCGTCCCACTCAGCTCTCCCTCATCCTCCGTGTCCTCCCCTTCATCCTCCTCCAGTCCAGGATGGCTGGGTCCTGGCCCAGCCTTTCTTTCAGGAACAGTGTCCAGTTCTGCCCTGGGGGCTACTGGCGCCTCCATTGCTTCAGCAACAGCCTTCTGGAAAGCCAGGTACTCGGCGGCGTCCTGCTCTGGGCGCTCTCCGTCCAGGGTGGCCAGCAGCTTGCTCTTCCGGACAGACACCAGGCTGGCCTCGGTGAGCTGGATCAGCTCCTTCAGGTCTCCCTGGAGCTGGCGCAGGTCGGCCAGCTCGGCGGGATCCAGGCCGGCACCCAGGGCCAGCTCCACCTGCTGCAGCTGGGCGCCGTAGGTCCGGAGCGCGGTCTGGAGGCTCTCCTCGTCCATCACGCGGGGGACGGCTGGTTTCCCGGGTCGGCAGGGCGGTCCTGGGTCCTCACGGGGGTGGTGGGAGCAGAGCTGCAAGGAAGGGAAGCCAGGTGAGCCCGGGATCTGCCGCCTGAACTGCCAAGCCGCCGCCCTGAGGCTGACACCGAGCCCGGGGCCGAAGGCTGCACTCGGGACCTCACCGATCTCTCACGACGGCCCGCGGAACCGTGTGCGCTCCTCCCCCGCTTGAGGGACGAGAAACAGGCTCGAAGAGACTATCCGCTCCGAGTGGCCTCGGCTCCCTTCCCGGCCTCTCGGCCCCGCGTCCCCCCTCCTAACCCCGAGTCCGCTCAGGACGCTGCCCCTCGGCCCAGCCTCCGCCTGGCCTGCCACCTGTGACGGGTGGCCCAGACCGCGCCCCTCGACCCGGGCCGGGAACTTCCTCCGCGCAGTCACCCGGCCGCGCCATAGAAAGGCGGCCAGCCTCACCGGCTAGAGAGGCACGGTACCCGGCTTCCGGCACCGTAGCCGGCCAGCTCTTCCTCCCGAGTGCCGCCGCAGCCGGAAGTGCCTATCGCAGGGGCCGCCGGGAGAGCTCCTACCTTCCCCGGGCGGCCGGCCGCTTCCCATCGGGCACTGCGCGGAGCAGCGCGGGTCAGCGTGGGGTCAACGGGTCAGGCGCGCGGCGGCTCCGGCCCGGGCGGGCGCAGGTAGGCCGGGGCTGGGCGCCGGGCCTGATGCCGGTGTCAGGGCGGGTCGGGGCGAGGGCTCCGGGGCCTCCCGCTGCCGACCGGCCACTGCGCCACACCCGCCTCCGAAAAGCGGGGTGTCCCCGTATGTCGCCTGCAGGGCTCCTGCCGTGAGCCCTGCGCCACCTGATGGGCGGGACCGAATTTGAGCGAAGGCGCGGTGACCCCCGTCTGGCAGGGGAAGCGAGTCTCTGGCGGCGCCAAGCGGGAGTGAAGTAGTGGGGGGCGCCCTGCGCTCCGCAGGGAGCTGTAGGCGGTGTTGGAGGCATTGCGGGGCGGGGCCGCAGGACGGGAGGCGGGGCCGCAGGACCGTGGGCCGGGTTAGGTCGCCAGGGTGGGGAGGCTGGACGGTCCCGGGCCCGGACTCAGCTCCCGGCACCCTGGCAGGATGTACACGCTGCTGTCGGGGCTGTACAAGTACGTGTTCCAGAAGGACGAGTACTGCATCCTGATCCTGGGCCTGGACAATGCCGGGAAGACGGTACGCTTCCCCCTGGCCTGGCCCTTGCACTGCCTGCTCCGAATCCAGTCCCCATCCAAGGCCTTGGGACACCCAAATTCATTCCCCACCCAAGGCCATGGGACAGTCCCCGCCAGCTGCTTTAACAGCAAAACGTCTCTTTGCGGAATAAGCCCGAGGAGGGACATGAACGCCTCCCGCCTGTCTCTCCCTGTCCCGCAGACCTTCCTGGAGCAGTCAAAAACCCGCTTCAGCAAGAACTATAAGGGGATGAGTCTCTCCAAGATCACCACCACCGTGGGTCTGAACAGTAAGGGCGCTGAGCGCGGGGGGTGTGGGTCTGAACAGTAAGGGCGCTGAGCGCGGGGTGCGGGGGTCTGAACAGTGAGGGGCGCTGAGCGCGGGGGGCGGGGTCCTAGCCCAGAGGCCCTGTGGCGTCCTTCGAGGCCACCCGCTCCTGATGGGCCCACCTCAGGAGCACGGGAGCGGGGTGCTGTTCGCAGGGGAGCGGTGAGACTGTGTCATGGACCGGGGCCACCTCACCGGGACTCTTCTCTCCCCAGTCGGCACCGTGGACGTGGGGAAGGCTCGACTCATGTTCTGGGACTTAGGGGGGCAGGAGGAGCTGCAGTCTCTGTGGGACAAGGTGAGACGGATGCACAGGCCACCTGCCTCCCACGCCATTTCCCTCCAGGTGGCACCCTTGTCCAGTCCCCGCTTTTCCAAAGGGCCTCAGACTCACCTTCTTTACTTCCTGTCAGCAGCTTGGTCACCCTCTTTGTTCCTGAAGCTCCCCCCATTCTACCCTGGCTCCTGCAACAGTCCCCTGAGGGTGAGGATCCACTTCCTTCCTTTGGGCGTAGAGGTGTTGCTAATGAACATAGGGTGAGACCAGGTGGCCCAGAGCCAGAGGTGGGGGGCACAGTGCCGGCATGCTCAGCAGCTTCGGCCTGGCCTCCCCACTTGGCCCTTCTCTCCGTTCCGGCTTAGTAGCATCCTCCAGAGTCAGGCCAAGATGTCCTCACGGGCCCTCGCCACTGTCTCTTTTGACACAGGGTTTGGGCATTTCTGAGGCAGTGGTGCCCTTCCCCGCACCCCAGGCACGGGGGTAGCAGCGAGGAGGACAGACCCAGCTCCTGCCCGTTGGCAGCTCCCTCGGTGAACTGGCACGATGGGCATGCTGGTCTAATGTTGGGGGCACAGGCATGTCTTCCCGACACTCACTGGTGGCCCATGTGTTTAGAACTGAATGGCAAGGTCCTGATTTCTGGTTTGATCCCAGCAACAGGTACCCAGTCACCCTTTCCTGCCCCCCCCCCCAAGTGTTTCCTCCCACCTTGACTTCCAACCAAGAGGGCAGCTTCTGTCTGTGGCCAGAAGGCTTGGCCATTAAAGCTCTCCTGAGGCAGAGCCAAGCTCGAGCCTACACGTCTGAATCCCAGACCATGTGGGGAGTGAACACAGATCCTGACCTTCTGTTGTAGGCCAGGGTCTCCAGAGCTAATATTGAGGCAGAGGTTGGGATGCAGGGTGGGTGTTGGGGGTCAGCACCTGGGAAGGGAGTGGGAAGGTGCAGGACTGGACAGGGCGAGGTCAGCCTGGGTGGGGGCCAGTGGGGAAGCATTGGAGGCAAGTTGTTCCTCATGCTGCCCAGGTGGGCCAAGCTGGCCAGGACTCCCTATCACCTGGTGGGCCACCTGGTAGGCTGCCCTGGGCAGCTGTGACCTGGTAATGTGGGTCCTGCAAGAGCCAACAAGGGTCTGTCCACTTGGCATCCTGCCCACCACTGGGCAGTAAGGCCTCAATGGGTGACCGTTTCTGTGGAGGTCTCCTGTGCCACTTGAATTCACGCCTCTGCTTGGGGGATGGCTCCTCCAAGTCCCAGGGCTCTGTTAAGGGGAAGCTGGAAAAGGGACAGGAAAGGGAGGACTATAGGCTGGCTTTGCAGTTGGTGTGGTCCCCCCTTAGCTACCACTTGTGTGTTGGTGTGGCCTCCTCACGAGGGTCTGAGCCCTCTTTCTTGGTGGGCCCCATGGGTTCCTCAGGTGCTTCCTAGCCCCACTGTAGAGTGGCACCCCACCTCTTGTGGTAGGGTCCGTTACGCCCACCAGGATGGGCTCTCTGCCAAGATGCCCAGGAGGCAGCCAGGGTTTGTGGCCCAGAGGGTCTCCTGCTGTGACACTGCAGTGACCAGCTCTGCCGAACCCAGCGCCATAGGGTGGGTGGCCGAGCCCTGTGGGCAATGGAAGTGATGAGCAGGGCCCATGCCCCTCCCCAATGCCTAGATAGGCCATGTCTTCCCACACAGGGAGACCACCTGGCGCTTGGCCACAGGAGGACTTCTGGCCTCTGTCCCTCTAGGCTACACCCAAGGGACTGGTGTGTGTCCACCCAAAAGCCACGCTTGAGCTCTCTCCTGCTCCCAGTGGTTTTGTAGGTTCCCCCACATGGCCATGGGTGACACAGCCATTGGGTTGGGGTGTGGCGGGTGTCGTGGGGGTGGGGCAGCCTGCTCACACTCCACCTCAGCTGTGTGCTCATCACTGAGCCGTCACCCTACCAGGGCCCAGACACGCTGGGAGTGTAGTCTTCTGTCACCTCGTGGCTGTGTGCGATTCTCACCGGCTGCCAGCCCCGGAGTGAGTGGCCTCCTTTCTGCACAGAGGCCTCTCCTGTGGGCCCGCCAGCTCTGCCAGCAACAGGCCGGTGTGCCCGGAGCAGCTGTAGCCGCACGTCACTCAGCATGCAGGCTGGTGTGCAGGGTGCACAGCCTGCAAAACCCAGGGCCGCCTCTAGCAAGTACCGATAAAGGCTTGTCTTGGATGGGGCAGGCGTCACTCTCAGGAATGTTCCAGAGTGTCCTTTGGCTTGCTGACCACTGGGTCATCCTGCCCAGTCCACAGCACAGCCTGGCTGTGCCGGGTGACAGGCAGGAGGGGTGGGGCCCAGTGGCAAGGTTCTGTCGTCTGCTCCCCAGTGTGGACATGGCCAGGGCTCTTTTCTGGTTGGTGCAGAATGTGGACTCGCCAGGTCTGTGGCTGTCTCACTGGTGCCCCAAGCCCAGGGAGTCCATCTCTCAGAAGGCCCTGCTTTTGTGCATGTGTCCCACTCGCCCCCACAGCCCCGGGCTCTGGCAGGTAAGAGTTGGCAGGGGGCTCCCGTGACCCTTGCTGTCAGCAAGCCCACGGCCGACCACCCTCTGGCACCATCCAGAACACACAGCTCCCAGCTCAGCTGGCTTGGTCCTTGGCCCTGCCATCCGGCACAGGGCACAGAGCTGCTGCACAGGTGGCACTGGCCTAGCCCTTGGAGGCCTTTCTTGGTTTGCTTTCGGTGCCAGTATGAGGCCCCACTGGTGCGCTTCACCTCCGGGTCTGCTTGGGGACCGGCTTGGTCTGGGCTCCTCCAGCCTCCAGCCTCCAAGCCCCATTTCTCCTTTCGGGCCACCATCAGGCCTGTGGTCATGGGTGGCTTTTAGGAGCCGGCCCTGAAGTAGGATATGGGATACAGCCCCTAGGAAGTGGTCAGCAAGTCCTTCCTTGAAGGGGCCTGTGGGGCGCACCTCCACTCCACTCTACCTCCCCACCCACAGAAGGCACCCCATATAAGGGTCTTGCAGTTGGGGGTTGGCTGAATGCCCATGGCTCACCCCCTGCCCCTTTGCCCTTCCCCAGTACTATGCTGAGTGCCACGGTGTCATCTATGTCATCGATTCCACAGACGAGGACAGACTGTCGGAGTCCAAGCAAGCTTTCGGTGGGTACAGCCCAACCGGGGCTGGGGGGCTGTTCATGTCCAGTCCGCACATTCCATGTGTCTGGAGCTGGGCCATGTCAGGTCAAAGGGTCCTGGCCATAAGGGAGTGTCCCCGCCTGTGAAGAGGGTGGTAGGAATGTATGGACTCCTTGGTGTGGCTGGGTGGTCAGGGGGACAAAGGGGGAAAAAAGGGTGCTAATGCCCCCTCTTGCCTATTCCAGAGAAGATGGTCATGAGCGAGGCTCTGGACGGTGTCCCCATCCTGGTGCTGGCCAACAAGCAGGATGTTGAGGTGAGCCTGCCCCCACCTTCCTCGGACACCCTGCATGGCGGTGTCTGCCCCAGGTGCACAGAGCTCTCCTGAGGCCTCTCCGGGCTGTGCAGGGTGCTTTCTCTTCTACGGGGGTGGGGGGTGGGGGGGTGGAGGGGGTAGCTTACATCCTGTCTCTCTGCAGCCCTGGGAGACCCAGATGACCCGCAGAAAGCTCTGGAGAGAAGACAAAGGTGGTATCTTTTCAGGGCGGAGTCAGCTGACGCCAACCTGTCTGCTGCTCTTGGAGTTGGCAGCGGTGCTAGCCCTACTCCCAAACCAGGGGCTGTCTGGGGAGCGACACAGGCCATTCTGGGGACCACCAGTCAAGGGCTGTGCGCAGGGTGGATGTTTACAGCATCCTGAGGGTGCATCTTAGTTTGCTTCCATCCGCCTGCTCGTAGCTGTCTGAGGCCACTCACCAGGTAGGACCCTCCTGGGCAGAGAAGCCCTGAAGGGCCCACCTTGGCCTCCCATCCTGTTCTCAGCCCCCATCTTTGAGCTCTGGCAGCTCTAGGGACTGCCCTGGGGGCCAGTTTCTCTGATGCCAGGAAATGGCCTCAGGAGGGATGGGCTGTGCCTTACAGCCTGCCCCCCCACCCCCACCCCCCAGACTTGCCTCTCCATCCCGGATATCAAGACTGCGTTCAGTGACTGCACCTCCAAGATCGGCCGGCGGGACTGCCTGACCCAGGCTTGCTCAGCCCTCACGGGGTGAGTGGGGCCCTCACCCTGCCCCAGGGTCCCGGGTCGCCCCACCTCATACCTACTGTCTCCACAGCAAAGGGGTGCGCGAGGGCATCGAGTGGATGGTGAAGTGCGTCGTGCGGAATGTGCACCGGCCGCCGCGGCAGAGGGACATCACGTAGGTGCAGCCGGCACCTGGAGCACGTACAGCTGGTGCCTGAGCCAGGAGCACACCTGCCAGCTGGAGCCACCAGTCCCGGGGCTGGGGCTGGCTTTGCCTTTGGATTTTTTCATTTGCTTTGTTTTTTCTCTAAGACAGACTTTCGTGTCCTGAAAAGTGTAGGTGCCCGGAGGCTTCTGCCAGGGGAGTGGGGGCAGCAGGGCCCACTCAAGGCCTGGTTTTCAGCCCTGTGGGTGCCCTTTGGAGCTGCTTGCCCCAGCCTGGCCTGGGTGGGGCTTCAGGAAGCCCGGTTGGAGGTGGGTTTTCCATCCACAGCATGCCCACGAAGCTCGGCCTCTGCCTCCTCTGATCATGGAGGTGGGCTGGGAGTTGGTGTCACCTTGAAGGAGGCCTAACCCACATCCCCGAAGGCCTGCAGGTCCTGGGCTCTGGTGCAGCCCCAGGACTGGCTAGGTGCGATCTGCCTAGCCATGTGGACCCTGCTGCCACCACCACCACCGGCCCACGTCAGGGAGCAGAAAGCTGGGAGTGGGAGGCCCCTAGCGCACCTGCCACCACCTGGGACAGCCACGGCTGCCAGCTCAGGGATGCGTCAGGGACGTGGGGGTGTTGGGAGGTGGGCTGGGTCCCTATGTGGTGCCTGTGCTCCCAGCTGAGCGTGAGGGGTGCATCCCCTTCCAGGCCTATGCCCAGCAGCGCAGGCCCTCCAGGCAACGCTGGTCCTGGGGCCCCTCTTCACATGGCCCCTGTGGGAGCAGGTGACCAGCAGCCTGGCCAGGGAGCCTGTGCAGAAAATAAAGACAGTCTGCGTGGCCCCTGTGTACCCTTCTCCGAGCCTGTGTTGTGGCCACAGCCCAAGGGCGTCCAGGCCCTGTTTCCTGCTGTCCTGGGAATGGCTGGGCCATAGCCAGTGACCTGCTGGCTTCATGTTCCAGGGAGGTCCCACCAGCCTCCCCTCCCTTCCTTCCTCCCTCCCCAGAGGAGACCTGAGAGGAGCTGCTGGGAAAGGGATGAGTCAGGGATGGGGCTGGGGACCCAGTGGCAGGGGAAGTGACTCATGGGAAGTCCTGGGCCTTTTGGGAGGTGGGGGCAGCTAGGGCTGGGAGTCCCATCCCCCCACCCCTCCACCCACCCTGAAGCCTTTAGTCCCTTCTTCCCTGGGTTCCCTCATGTGAGGGTGTGATCCTGCCCCGAGGGAAAAGCCATTTCCCAGAAAGCATAGTGGGACACTGGTCTCCTGGGAAGCCTCCTGCGGAAGGGAGTAGGTGGACTCAAAGGGAGGGGGCAGTCCGCTAAGTCTTCTTTCACAGCAGAGCCCCTGGACTTGTGACCTTCCTGGGCACTGCCACTCCTTGATTGGCCTGACCTACCCTCCACACTCCCAGCTACCCAGAGCTCAGCTTGGGGAGGGGCCATGGAGTGAGCCTCAGCTCCCCTGTGCCCCACAGCAGGAAGGCCCCACCTCCCACCCACTGGCCACTTCCCATGATCTCCCTGCCCTCAAGGTCTGCCTCAGCCCACCACCGTCACACAGCACTGTTCTACACAATCGATTTTACAAAAGGGTTTTATAAAAACTACACTTGGTGCCTGGTCAGGAGAATAAATATGGGGCTCAGCTGGCCAGGAAGAAGCGCTTTCGGATAGTGCGCTCCACCCCCGGCAGCCTGGCTGTGTGCAGGGCCTGCAGCAGCCCTGCCACCAACGCCCCTGGCCGGGCCTCGCGGAGCTTCATGAGCTGCCTCTGCAGCGTCTGCTGCAAGGACATGCGGTCCTCCCAGGGCCGACGGGGAGTCCATGCCCCCGGACCCGACAGGGCCTGCTGCAGCTGCAGGAGTCTCCTGAAGGAGACGTTCTGGAAAGCCACGAAGTCCACCAGGGCGCGCTCACACTCCTCGGTCCCTGTGGGAGGGTCAGGCAAGGTGGGGGTTGGGCCAGGTCCTGGGGTGAGGGCTCCCTGCAGACAGAGCCCTCCCCATGCCCCTGCTGGGACCCCATGCTAGGAGGGTGGGTGGGAGAGGCGGCCCTGGGGTGAGGGGATGCCACTGCTGAGGGGTGGGGAAAAGCATTGCTTGCCAGCTAAAGCCATCAGCACAGTGCACTCAATGGTGCCACTGCCACTACCCATGGCTGCTCCGTGGGTTTTGGGGACCCTTGACCCCACGAGGCTGGAGGCACTTCCCAGACGCCCACTAAATGCCTCATGGCTCCAAGGGCTGGACTGGCCAAGAGTTGGGGCAGGGAACAGGCTGAGCTTGCTGCCCCATGGCCCATCCCCCCTCATCTGTGCCCCTCCCCCCGGCTCACCTGCCCCCCTCCAGTCACCTGCACCCCCTGGCTCTGGAGTGCTGAGTGGAGGGCCTGTGCAGCTGGTGCACATGGCGTCATGGAAGGGGGTGCCCGGCACGTTGAGGACCAGGCCCAGAGCCGTGCAGTTGCGGTGGGGCTGGCACTGCCCTGAGCTGGAGCTGTTGGCCGAGAAGGTGCCTGGGGGACATTGCTGGCACTGTGTGTCCTGGGTGGGGGTGCCTGGGGATGAGATGGGAGGACAGGGTCAGGGGGACCCAGGGCATCCTCATGGAAGGAGTCCTGGCCCAGCACCACCCACAGAGTGCCCAGCACCCACCAAGGGCAACCACTCCATAGCCAGGCGGGCAGGGCGTGTGCTCCAGGCAGAAGCCCGCGAGCTCGAAGAAGCCTGGGCGGCAGCGGCAGGCACGGTTGTGGACGACGGAGCAAGGCCGTGCCTCCTCCTCATGCTCCCCGCAGACCACGTTGCAGTACCGGCAGCGCTCCAGGTAGTTCCAGAACTGCGTGTAGTGGTGCGGCGGGCACTGGCGGCACGTCGTGGGGTGGTCCCTGCTGCACGGCCGGTGCACGAAGGTGCCTGGGGGGCACTGGCCACACGTCAGCCACTCCCGCGTGTCCACATCCCACCATGGGTAGGTAGGCACGTCTTCCGCTGGCCCGAGCACAGCCAGCATCAGCAGTAGGAACGGTAGTGCCCTCGGCAGGATCAGGGGCAGCCTTGCCTGTGCTTTCATGATCCTCCCTGGAGCGCGACTCAGCCTCAGCGGGGACACCAGTTCACCACAGCCCCAGCCCCGCTCCTCCCAGCGGAAGAGGCCCCGCCCACCCTACCTGCAGCCAACCAGAGTACTCCAGCTCTGGCCCAGCGCCTCCTATAAAGGCTGGCCTCGCCACACCCCGGGAAGAGGCCGGTGACCTCCCGCAGGCCATGTTCTGACCCAGTTAATTTTGTTTTTTAAATATATTTTTATTGATTTCAGGGAGGGAGGGAGGGAGGGAGGGAGAGAGATGGAAACATCAATGAGGAGAATCATTGATCAGCTGCCTCCTGCACGCCCCTTACTGGGGATCAAGCCTGCAACCCGGCATGTGCCCTTTACTGGAATTGAACCCACGACCCTTCAGTTTGCAGGCCAACTCTATCCACTGAGCCAAACCAGCTAGGGCATGTTCTGACCCAGTTTTGGGCACAGTCGCAGCACCCTCGCCTGGCCTGGCCCAGTCCCCCTGCCCCCCCAGTGCAGGAGGCAGTCCTATGAAGGCCCTCCTATCACCAGGCACAGCTTGTGATCCAGTGACAAAGCCTTTCAGGGAGGTATAAGGGGCGGGGCGGGGGGGGCAGGTTCCTCTCCCCTCTGGTATCAGTGTCTTCCTGTCCAGCTGCAAGGATGGAGGCTGAGCCAAGTTTAGACAACGTGCTCACAGCACCCTCTCGTGGGACAGTGGGAGGGGGAGGGGGACCCCGTGCAGACGCCCCATCCTTTCTCTCTGGCACCTCAAACCCCATCACCAAGCCCAGGCAATGCAAAGAGCATCCGCGTGTACCAGCAGCTTTATTCAGTCCACCTCCAGGCACAGTCCCAGCATGCCAGGGAGCAGACCACCCGCTCTAGGTGCGGCCCAGCTGTGGACCCCTGAGCCCCCCACCCCCACAAGCCAGCAGCCAGGGAAAGTTCTGGGGAAGCACCTCGCCCACCCACCCCACGGTGGCTTCAGGGCTTCTCCTAGGTGGCCCGAGACCTGGTTGCTGTCTCAGGGGTGTCCCTTGTGCAGACCGGCCTCTCTGACTGGTAGGTTGCTGGTGCTGGGCCTGGCCCACCCTGAGCCAGCAGACAAGTGTCCACGCTGCATCCAGGGAGGGTGGCCTCAGCCTTGGAGGCCCTGCCGTGCCCAGGCGTCTCAGAAGAGTGGCCGGTGGCTCTGCTTCCTGGCGGAGGCACCCCAGGCCCAGCACGCAGTGTCCTCCTGGGGGTCTGGGAAGACACAGAGGACGCTGGCCACACCTGCCAGGCACCACTGCCCACCCCCCCCCCCCAGAGGGGTGGTGCCCGGCAGCCGTGTCCCTGAGGGCTGGTCAAGACCTGGGTGCTGCTGTTAGCAGGAGGGACATGGGGAAGGAATGGCTTCCTCTGCTGGCAGCCAGCACCCACAAGACCTACCCACTCGGACTGTCTGTCCGTGGGGTCACGGGGGTCCAGCCGTGGCCTGAGGAAGGAGGAGATCTTGCTCTGGGTCCTCCCTAGTCTCTCTGGCTCGGAGGGGCCTGGACACAGAGGAGTGAGTCTGAGGGGTGGCTGCACCGTGAACCCCCAAGGCTGCAGAGGCTCTGGGGTGACAGGGTGGGGGTGGCAAGAGCACCAGCAGGTCACCCTGGGGGTGAGGATGGGAAACACCTCGGAGCTCCCTTCCTGGGGTCCCGGGGGCACAGTGCCTGTGTCCGGGGTGGGCTGGCCGGTCAGGTCTGCACACATCTGCCAGAAGCGCAGCTTGTGGTGTGGGCGCACGAACATGCTGAACCCTGCGGGGAGGGGTGCTCAGGACCTGCCCCCATCCCCCCGAGTCTCCTCCCCCAGAGCCCCTCCAAGTCCCCTCCTCAGGAACTTACTCTGCAGCAGCGGCAAGTCCTCAGGCCTCGAGGTGGTCAGTGCTGCCACCACAGCCACCACCTTCTCAAAGTCATCATCCCGCTTGTAGGTGGTCAGTGCTGCCAGGAGCTGACTGCAGCCTGCAGCCCCCAGGGCCCTGCGGGCATCTGCCAGGTAGGTGCTCACAGCAGGCTGGCTCGGCTTCTCCGCTTGAGGGGCGCCACACCCCTCTTGTGGACAGAGGCCAGTGTCTCCTGAGAGGGAGGGAATATGGACTGTGTCGGGGCCCATAGCCCCCAGGAGGCTCCTCCCCTCCGAGGTCTAGCTCTGCTCCTGGCTCTGGTCAGAAGCCTCTTCAGGGACCATGTACCTTCCGGTGGTGGCCTGGAGGCCAGGTGAGGCTGGCCCTGGTTCAGGTGCCCTCCAGTGTCCAGCTGCCTGGCCGCACTCTGGGACAGGGTCATCTTGGGGACAGGCTCCCTCCTTCCTGAAGGAACATGGAGACACAGGAGTCATCCAGCTGGTCTCAAAGGGTCCGAGTGCTCCCTAGGGAGGAGGCAGGTCTGCCCAAGGGGAGGCTGGGCTCACAACCCTCCTCGGACCTGACTTGCACAGCCCCGTGGACAGCTGGTTGCTCAGAGGGACGTCCTGTGGCACCACACCCAGCGGGGAGTGACTCTGGGGCTGGAAAGCCCCCCCCCCGGCAGTGTCCCTGAGGAAGTCCCACCCAGGGCAGGCTGCTCATGGACAGGGACTGGCTCCCTCGCTCTGGAGGTGCAGGGCCCACTCTGGGGGGAGGGACAAGGGGCTCCAGGACCCCGGCGCGGATAAGACGACAGCTGTACATGCTCTGGGGGCCGACATGGTGCCACCCTGCAGTGATCCATTGGCCCCTGTAGAAACAGGGAGGCTGGACCAAGCTAGGG